AGAACGCCGAGGGCGTGAGTAACCCTCTCGAGTCAGACGTGCCCGTCACCTGCAGACGAGCGCCAGGTCAGTTCTTTTCACGTTTCTGTTTTGTTTGTTTTAGTGGAGGTTTTACGGCGCTCTCAACTGCATAAGGTCATATGAGCGCCAAAAGATTAGAGGTGTTACAAGAGAGTAACAAACATAATAAAGAAGGAGGGGAGATATGGACGATAGATGTTTGATAGGAAAGAAGAAGCAAACCACATTAGAGCACTCGCGAACCGCCCACGGTTTGTTTCAGTAAAAATGTAGCGGCACTTGCAACACAATTAGGTCAAATATGTGCAGAAGATCAGTGGGGTTACCAGAAAGTACCATACAAAGAAGAAAAGGAGATATACGGACTATAGATGTTCGATAGGAAATAAGGAGCAAACCACAGGAGGGGGCTCACCAACCTCCCACTGTATCTTCAAAGTTTTTAGCATAAACCACTAAATTTGTTATCAATTTTTGTTTGTTTGTTTGTTTGTTTGTTTGTTTGTTTGTTTGTTTGTTTGTTTGTTTGTTGTTGTTTTCTTTAGGTTTTTAAAAATTACTTTTTGTTGTTTTTGGTCGTGGATTTTTCTTTGTTTGCTTGTTTTTTCTTCTTGTAAAGAAATGTGCATTTAGTCTGAAAAGTTACTTGAAAAGTTCTGAAAAGTTACTTTAAAATTTCTGAAAAGCTACTTTAAAAGTTCTGAAAAGTTACTTTAAAATTTCTGAAAAGTTACTTTAAAAGTTCTGAAAAGTTCTGAAAAGTTACTTTAAAATTTCTGAAAACCTACTTTAAAAGTTCTGAAAAGTTCTGAAAAGTTACTTTAAAATTTCTGAAAAGCTACTTTAAAAGTTCTGAAAAGTTACTTTAAAATTTCTGAAAAGTTACTTTAAAAGTTCTGAAAAGTTCTGAAAAGTTACTTTAAAATTTCTGAAAACCTACTTTAAAAGTTCTGAAAAGTTCTGAAAAGTTACTTTAAAATTTCTGAAAAGCTACTTTAAAAGTTCTGAAAAGTTCTGAAAAGTTACTTTAAAATTTCTGAAAACCTACTTTAAAAATTCTGAAAAGCTACTTGAAAAGTTCTGAAAAGTTCCTTTACAAGTTCTGTTTTCACTCTCTCCACAAACAGAAAAACCGGGCCCACCCTCGGGCAAACTGCGGACCAGCAAGATCACCGCCGACTCCGTGACCCTGGACTGGCTACCTCCCCTGGACGACGGTGGCTCCCCCTTGACCGCCTTCATCATCGAGGCACAGACGGCGGGCAGCAGCGAGTGGAAGACTGTAGCAGAAGTGGACCCCAACGCTTCGCGCCATCTCCTGAGGAATCTGACGGAGGGTGAGGAGTATCGGTTCCGCATCTGCTCACAGAACGCCATCGGGCGCAGCAAGCACGTGGAGGCGGACTCTGTAGTGAAACCTTCCAGACCTCTGGGTGAGCTCACGGCTCTGTGTATGTCCTCGGTTTTTTTTATTTTTTATTTTTTATTTTTTATTATTTTATTATTTTTTAATTTTTTTTTTTGGGGGGGGGTTGTCAATCCGCCGCCTTTACCCTTTTGGGTGTCGCGGGAAGAAAGAGACGTCTATATGCCACAAGCCGGAGAGCTTGGGTCATGGAGATGAGATGCCGTGATTCGTTAATGTTTCCCTGACTCCATCCAGGTCTTTCTCGGTCGGCCCTGAAGCCTTGTTGCCATCGAATATTTTTTTATGTACGTCCTGTGACTTGCTTTATTCTTCCTCCTCCTCTTCATCTTTCTCTATTTCGATGATCACTTTCTCAGCCCCAAAAATTCATATCCATTATTTTAGGCCTACCTATTCGAATCCCCTTTCTCAACCCCAGTAATTGATGTCCGTAATGATTCCTATGCCACACACTGCTTTCTATAATCCATGTGCGTAATTTTTCCTACTTCGATCACCGTTTTCTCCTCTCCAATAATCTATCTTATCTCCCTCTCCCTCCCTCCCCCAACAACTCACATCTCCCCCTCCCTCCCCTTTCTCAACAACTCACCTCCCTCTCCCTCCCTCCCTCTCTCTCAACAACTCACCTCCCTCTCCCTCAACAACTCACCTCCCTCTCCCTTCCTCCCCAGAACCGCCCGGAGCACCAAGAGGCCCGCTACAGGCCGAGAATGTGTCACGTGACTCCATCAGCCTGAGCTGGCAGACGCCACTGGACGACGGAGGCTCACCGGTCAGTACCACGTGATGTGTCTGGACCTTCCGATTCTGAAACATCTCCCTACAGGCCTACTTAATATGACCAGATAAATAATTTTCGTTTACTAGATGTTTTGAAAAAGACATGGCATATTTCCAGATCTACGTCACCGACATGCAAGCACTGCGACAGAATATGCGCTTCAAACATTGGAAGAATTAGCCATGAAAGAAGCTGCATGAAGACAACCTTGAGACCAACTTAAGCTAATTGATCGTCTGCATAGACGAAAAGAGCCATATATATTTCCCGATAATTAACGTACGCATCGACTTAAGTCCCAACACCTTTACTAAAATATCTTTAGTACACTTAAAAGAAAAACAGATGTCAGTGAACCAGTTTGAGAGA